CCGGACTCGATCAATGATCTATTCGATTGCTTTGAAGATTTTTGGATGGAAACCGTGCCAATAGACCTACACAATGCGTTTGGTCTCAAAATACAAACCAACAATAATGCGGAGGATAAGATTCTTTTTCTTTCTTTCCCGTTTATAATATTCGAATATGGTTTCTTCAGGATGGCACAATAGATTTGTTCATCTCATCGTCAAGAAATTTCCGAACATATGGAATTTTATCCGTGTACTTCAAGAAGAAGAAGTTCGCTTCAATCAACATGTTCAACATGTGAAAATGGGCAAGAAGAAGCTACAGGGAAAATGAACATATTACATCCAATAGTATCTAAAAACCCTTACAGATTGATTCAAGACAAAAGAGATCGACCTCATCGAATACAACCAAGGCCTATTGCTTTTGGGCACAAAGAAGATATGATACGAAATGAAAACAGAACTAATCGATTCCTCTTGGTACTAGCCTTTTGTCTCTTTCTTCTCACTCTCTATTTCTGTTAGTTAAATTTGTAAATGTGCTCTATATCTCTGATTAGACATATTTGCAATTTTTTCTTGTAACTGCTTGGTCAAATAAAAATAAAATGTAGACTGATGCTTTTGAACATTGGCACTTCACGAATATTTTTCGACAAAATAGTTTCGACGAAAATTTGTCAACAAAATGTTCTTTCAGCAAAAAATTGTCGTCGAAAGTTTGTCGATGAATGATATTAATACCGATCTTAGTATCTATGATGAAATCTTTAATGAAGATGTCACATGTGAACGAATGTAATTTGTGGCAAGAACAACTGATGATATTCAACCATTAGATCTTTATTTTTTCTGACAATGGAAATATTTGAAACAAAAAAAAATATGTGATCGCATAGCCATCGATATTAATTCTCGCAATAGCATCTTAAAAATACATCCTTTGATACACAATCAATTGTCAGCAACAAAATTCTCCTCGATGATCGAGTATGCTTGGTTTTCAACAGGTTATTTATTGAAAGATCTTGTTCATGTCATATGAACCAATCAAGAAATGCCGAAAAATTCCGGTTATTTTTTTATGATCGACGGCTGATCGTGGTTAACCGTCGGTCACAAAAATAACCGCAAATGACCAGTGGTTCAATCGGTTCGCACGGCATAGGTGATGCTTTTAAAAATGTACAGGACGTCTATTTTTCTTTCGATAACTTCTTTTGTTCTTTGACCACATGTAGTGACTATTCTTTCATTTTTTGTAGTTATTATGATCGTGTATTTTGTGTTAATCATTTTTCATTGACAATCATAAACACTGAAACTAATGCTATTGTTTATTACAGTAAAAGGATCTACCTACTATACACATATAGAGTGATGTCATACTATAACACTAGTAGGAAAAGATTTCACTGCATATACATCTTTGCTATGTCTGACATCAGATAATATTTCTAGAAATAAATATTATAGTTTAGAAAAGTATGTAGCTGTATGTATGCATTAAGAAGTGAAAAAGTATTATGACTACAACTTTTTATTGGATCGACCCGAGCCGATAATTGTTTCATACTCAACATTAGGGTATTTTGTGTAGCAAATACACGCAGCTTCAGCTGAAATCTCCGATATACACTTGGGGACCTTCCCTTGTAAGTATTCACCTATTTATCTGCCTATGCGCTTACCTATCCAACTAACATCTACTTACCTATTCAACTACCTACCTGACTAACAATCTACCTATCAATCTAATTAACTACGTAAATCTTTAGACAAAAATCTTCTTTCTTCTCTCTTTTAATTAGTATTGCATCTCTTGAGCTTCTAATGAATGTTCATTATAGAATGTCTAAGTACTTGATTTCAACGTTGTTAAAACTTATTAGATTTTGCTTCAGCGGAGAATATATGTCTTTCAACAATAAGCGAGTTCCTTGGCAGAGTTCGTCATTATCTGACTATATCAATTTTGAATCTGCTAATCATTTGACTGTTTTGGGCTTATTTAGATCTCTATCGTCGATTGTACATTGCCAATTGATTTCTGACTCGGTAGCGAAGAGGTTTTCGTAAGTGAAAAAACAGTAAACTAATTAGAAGATCCCTAACAGAAATGATAGATTCAAGGAGAAAACTTCAAAGTCACTTATTTATGGTAACGATTAATGGTATTGAAAGACGTACATTCTTCATTGAAGCAAATCGTGATGAATCATATGATATACTAAAATAAAATGCTTAGACCGTTCTTATAATAAATATTCACATGATACGAAATGCATGCAATATAGAAAACAAGCTGTAATCGAAATTCACTGCAGGAATAATGTGTAAAACTCATTGTAGATACCCGTGTTTTTATATAAACAATGTTTTTATTAGATAACTGCTATTAGTGTTATATCTTCGTGGTCTGGATCATGTTGTTTAAGAATTATATTCTTGTTTTTTGATAAAAACAGACTTATATAATGAAGTTAATCGAGTTCTATAAACATTATTTCCAGTTGACTTAAATTTCTTGTCTATATCTATAACACTATGTGAAGATTAGAAATTTTTGCTCCTATACTTCAACACTAGAATTAGACTGCTTCACAAAAAAATAAATAAAAGGAACATACATTTGATCAGAGATCAGACCAACTACCTATTTATATAATTACCTACCTGCCAACCTTATTACAGTTAGAAAAGATGAAATGAAAAAAGATTTCCTGTTCCATTCTGGCTATAAATATTTGACTTTGTGAATTGTAAACGCTACACCTGCTTCATTGTTCTCGGTCATTTTTTCTTCTTCGTTCTATCGTCTATTATCAAGAATATTAGTAAAAGAGAAAATCTAGTCAAAATATGAAGATAGTTATGTGTGTGAGAAAAACTTAAATGTATATAGTAGTAGAGAAGAAAAATAGTTGGACAAGGAATAAAATATAGAGAATGTAGACAAACAGTCAGAAAACACAAGGTGATAGAGTAAATAAGTCTATGATATTAAAGCAAATAAGACTGCAAGACAAAAAATAATAGCTTCCGTTTTTTCATATCATTTCTCCTTGGAGGAATACAATTTTTTTTTTATAAGAATAGCTAAACTTCTCTTTTGTCATAACCATTGAGTCTCTTCAAGATGCATACTGAGTCAATACTTGATTCACATTTAGAATAAAAGACAATAATATTTGAAAATAAGATACTTTTAAATATAGAATCGATCTGTTTTATATTATGAACTGTGGTTTTCTTAGTCCAAGCTTATGATAAGTGTTAGCCAAACTCAAAATTAAACTTTCAATTATTTTAAATATTTGGTTGTCCTTTCGATATCGGTAGTTGTCTAGCTTGAATTATTGAATTAAATATCGCATACATATTCATGTTGTCATCAAAATCTGAAATACCAAGGATTTCACCCATGAATATAATGACAAGTAACGAAATAATACGTAAATGTGTGCATTATCATACTCCAGCTTAGAATTTTTTAGTGTTTAAAAAACGTTTTTTTTCCACATTTAAACGTTTAAAATATTCAATAAGATACGAATTTAATATTTTGCTTCAAAACACGTTCATAAGGATCTGATTTTGACCACAGTTGAAAGACTCAGATTTTTAATATAAATCATAACAAAAAATATTTGTATGAAAAAACGATGAAAAAATTTCTTTTTTGAGCATTTACACAGCTATACATACTCGATAACATAACTCCATACGCATTCATGCTCCAAGTTTGGGTTTCTCGATGTTTACACAACAATTTTTTTCTCCACACGTTTTCGCAAAACCATGTCTCCTCGGGTAAAAAGTCTACTAGCATGTTTATACCTTGGCAAGAGATTTTTATTGAGTTCTTGCCTTTTTTAGACTCTATCTAGTCTCACGAGATATTACTTTTTCTCAAGCTGGAAAGGATGAGTTGAATTTGTAGAATGGATATTGCTGGTTAGTTTGTCCATGCTGTGATTGGTCGAAAATTGAAATCATATTTCTGCTACAGGAGGGTGTTTATCGCGAGTAGCGATCTCTTTTCTTGAGCAATATTTATTCTGAAGAAATTTAGATAAATGGAAAAATCAATAAACATGATGAGATAATTAACCAAGAAGAAGAAAACTATGTTCTTAATTATTTCGATTCGACTCAATGGAATAGCAACATGGAAGTATATTTTTGTTTAACTATATTTGTAACAAAATGTATACTTCTATTATATTATCTAGTTATCTTGATTCTGAAGAAATGAATAAATTATCGCAACAAGTTAAGAATATGAAATTATTCATGTTGTGAAAAAATCTAGTTCAGTTAACATAGACATAGGATATATGGCTATTTTTGATACTCGTGACTCTCCGTAATTGTAATAACCGTGAATTACGTTGGCCACACCAAGCACTAGTTCAAACATTAGAACAAATAGAATACATTTTGCATACAGAAGAATCATGAGCTATAAATTATGTGTAAGGTAATAGGTTTTAATGTTACCTAGGATTTTAGTTCAGTTTCCTTTAAGAATGTATTTAGTAATGGCGGAGTCGATGTTCTTTACTATCGGTTCTTGCTTTCAGTATTGAGCTAAGCGAGGTTCATGGAGTCGACACGTTACTTGTACACAGAATATCAACATAAACGTTTGAATCCTTTCAGACGCTTCTCTCATGAATTCCAGTGTAGGATATAACATATCTATGGATGTTTTATTCAATCTTTTCACATGTAAACAAATTTTTAATCTGATCACTAGAAAGATAAAGTCATGTACTGAAATAAAAATGTATATATTTCTAGAAAACACCTTGCGTAGTAATGAGGTTATTATTACTGTAAGAGAAATATTTACTTATCAAACCTAATAGCAATCACTTCGAAGGATTTTTTAAAAAATTTCTTATAATGATGTATGTTATTATAAAATAAATGAATATATTTATTTGACATTTTTGTCAAAAGAGAAAGAGAGAGAGAGAGAGAAAATACATATGAAAAATATAATGAGATTATAAATTGTCCCATCCACCTGGATGTTGCATATTGACTTGTCGTCGTTTGAATTCATTTTTAAAATCATTTCCAAGATGATCAAGATCTTTTTCATCTCGAATAACACCCTGAAATAATGAAAAAAAAAAGACTTTTGCATTCTTCACTCGTTTTATTTTCTATGTACCTTTGGTAAATATCCTAATAAACGATGTGCATGTTCACGAAGTAATTTAATACGTTCTTCTTCAATAATTTGTTTTCGCATTTGTTCAATACGTTCAGCTTCAATACGTTCATCAACATCACGTTGCTAAATAAATATTTAAATAATAACAATAATAAAGATTCTATTAATACGAACTTTATCAATTGTCATTTGACGTCGACGTTCATCAAGTAAAGCATCAACAGCTCTTTTATGTTCGATTTGTTTCATACGACGTTTTTGAGCATTCATTTGTTCAATACGATCATCTTCAGCAAATTTCGCCATTAACTATGAAAAGAAAAGTAAATTTTTATTATAAATAATTTGTTTTTCTTTTTATTAACTTGTTGTCGAAATTTGTCTTCTTCTTGTTTAATTTCAACATCACGTAAACGTTTAAACTGTATTTGTTCATCACGTTCACGTTGTAATTCAAGACGTTGTTTTATACGTGCTTCCATTTCATCACGTTCACGTCTTCGCATAGCTTGTTCTTGTTCTTCCAAATATAGTTCTTGTCGTACTAATTCTTGTTCTTCACGTTCTTCCCGATCACGTTTTATTTGTTCAGCTAATGTATGTTGAACTCTATCTAAGGCTTGTTCTCGAGCACGTTTCTCAGCTTTTGCTATTTCTTCTCGTTGTTCTTGAGTTTTCGCGTATTCTTTTATACGGCGATTTTCTTCTTCCATACGTTGACGTTCCATAGTTTTCCATTCTTCGCGTTTACGTTTAAATTCAACAATAAATTCACGGGTAGCACGTTGACGTTCTAATTTACGTTCCATTTCCCTATAGAAAGAAAAAATAAACATTAAACAATAGAAATTATGTAGTGTTAGAGAAGTGGCGAAGAAACTGTTTCAACTGACGTCCGTCGTTTGAGCGCATATTGGATCTAAGAGGAGGTATCGGTGAGATGAGCTCAAAACTAAGAAAGTTCGTCTCAATGGGCTTTCGGTGCCAAATAATGATTGGATTATTGGTTCAGAAAACTGGTCATAACTAACGAGGGAAGGTCCCCAAGTGTGAGTCTCCGTTTCGAATCGGGTATTTGTTATTTTGTAGAGCTCAATGAGTACAGTACCCGCGTATAAAGGATTTCTGCCCATGGTGAACTTTTCAGGAACAACGAGGTTCCATACCTTCTGAAAAATCAGCATAAGACTCTTAACTGAAGGCTTGAATTTTAATATTGTAAGGACAAAACATAGTGTTGTTCAGGCCAANTTAAAATTTATCAAGCATTCGAACTTTGTAAACAGTTCATCAAGCATATGCTAGCTGTCGGCAAAATCGATTGTGACTTGATAGCGAAAACGTTAACCAAAAGCAAGAATCAGAAATAGTTGTTCTTTCTCGTAAATCTCCTGCTTTAATTAAAATGAGATGTTTTGAGCCTTTTTGCACATTCTCAAGCACAAATATAGACAAATTTTTAGCATTAATTTTCAAAAATATCGTTAAGCAACAAATTTTTCTTAGAAACTCATACCGGTGAAATTCCGGTTTCATCCGGTCCGGTTGGCTTTTTCAACCGGCCCGGTACCGCTACCGGTCCGGTCCGGCCGGACCGGTTCCAGCTCTGGTTCTATATTTCTTTGTTGCTCTGTGAATTGTCTTTCGTCTAATCCTGCTCAAAAATTAGAAAAAAAATGAAGAGTAAGTAAAGTGCTATTTTACAATTGAAATTAATAATTGCACATTTTTATTCATTAGTTCGATTAAGAACCAATAAATGAACTTCTTAATTCTTCTCAAAACGCGAACAACCATCAATATCATTTTTTAATCATTTGATTTTCCTTTCTTGCACACTTATACAGTAATATCATGCAGATGAAGATTATGTTGAAATGAATTTATTAACAGAATAAAAATAAATATTAACACGTCTGTCTTACTTTAAGTACATTGTCAATCAATATCTAACAAATATTGCTGAGAGTTAGAAAGTCATCGTTCATCATTCTACTGCTTATGTCATAACTCTTTGTAATTAATTATCTAATTGATTTTTACTTATCTTAGCCTTCTTCGGTCAGAAATTTCTTTTATAGGCAATCGTTATAATCAAACGAAAATAATTTATGCTATGTGAAGATAAGGCTGCTACAGAACAGCGACGAATTCAAGATTCTAGCCATCGGTTGATGATATGCAAATGATACCTTGTGAAATATACATTCAGTGGAATCATGCACTCACAAAGTTTTTGTTTCCTATTTTTCTGTTCCGCAAGGTACTGCTATTTTTTCTACTGTCAAAAAGCTATCCCATATGTCCATTGGCGGGCCGGACCATAATTTTCAGGGGGGGCAATAAGCACTTTTTCGCTTAAAAACGCTTGTTTTCATGGCGTTCTCCTTAAGTCCCAGCCAAAAAAATTTTTTACGGGGGGCAATTGCCCCCTCTCGCCCCTATGCCGGCCCGCCCATGCATATGTCTACTTTATGATCACCGAAGTCCGTGATATATATTCAGGATTTTAGTAATGAGCATGTCTTTAAATCATGAACCCAGATTGTATTGCTACGACTCAAAAACTTTCAGAACATACTCATTATCTCATGAAGAAGACTCATCTTAATAAAAACCAGCATTTGTCTTTCAATAGACATTCGTAATAAGAAAACAATATCTCAGTTATTTTAAAAGAATTTCTAACAAAATTCGAACCAGCCATAGCTATGACATTAGACTTTCAGATGAAGACCAGCATAGTTGAGATCAAATGATTTCTGAATCAAAATTCTAATATATGTGAATCGATAGAGAGCAGGTTGATGCTCGCAATCAAAGGTGATAGTCATATGCATGCATCCAAAACTTCAATGTCATAAAGAATAGTAGTTTTTCATAAGAGTCATCTACTTTTTATGGCGTTCTTAGTTTAGTTTTGATGTGTTATCATCTGCTTCTATTTCTTCATGTAATTGATTGTTTATGCACGACATTCTAACCTTTCCTTGTCTTCTTTTTTTTATCCCATAATTATGTATCTACAAATTGTTTATTTGTTCTCTTCCTTCTCTTCCTGTTTAGATTATTGCACTCGCTTGTCTCCCTTCCTTCTCCCTCGCTTCATATATAATTAATGAATATGATAGAATTAAATAGACATTAGATGATTAAACTAAAATCGTCACACATTTGTCCAGAACGCGAGGTCAAAAGGAAATGGAAAAATATATAGTAATTGCAAAGCTTTGTTCGAAAAACTAGAATTACTTGGACACAATAGATGCTTTGAGGCTTCAAATACGTCTTTTATATCGATTCGTCTAGAGAAATCTTCTGCCTCGGGAAGTATTTAACGCAACATTAAAATTTTATTATTGTTTGAACAATTTTTTTTTTGTCAAAAGGACTTCTTTTATTTATTCGTTGAAAATAAAAATTGGAAAAAGAAAAACCATATTATGAGTAAATATTATGAGTCTCGATGTTATATGTATTGACAGTTCTTCTATTGTCAATAATAATTATTTTTTACACTCATCACAATTGCTGGATGTACCTAATGTTGATAATGGATGTGACATATTTAAACCCAGATCTTGAAGCATAATTGAATATTCAATATTAAATTTTTTACGTTCATGAGTCGTTTTATCTAACATTTTTGGATCATCTGTACGACGTGTTGAAGCAAAATCATCTTGTTCATGTTCATTGGTTGGCGTAGGTTTTGAAATAGGTAATTCACGCCAATTTAAGGCATTAAGCATATCATTATATTCAATACAACCATCTTCTTGAGTCATACTAAAATATAAAAATAACAACATTGAATCATAATTTTTAATTAAACTTACCGAGTAATAAGTGTGTTTAAAAGATAATCAGGTAATGGAACATGAACAGAACGTATAGCAATACGAACTTCTTCAGCAGGTAATCGACCATTTCGGCTAAATGATAATAATGAAAATAATTTAAAAAAAAACAATAGAAAAATAAGTTAAAAAAAAAATTTTACTTTCGATCGCGTTTAATTAAATTTTCTTTTAATGGTAATAAATGTTCATAATTATGTTTTCTTAAATGTTCTTGAGCAACGCCAACAACTGAATAAATATCATGTTCTTTAAAACTTTTCTGTGCATAATATCGAGCAAGTGTTATAATTTCATGATCAACCAAAATATGTCCAACAAGATTTTTCATTAAACAATAAAATGTTTCAAAACCAAAATAACCTTTATGGTGAGGATCATGTTGTTCAAATTGTGCAACACTATCAGAATTATTTGTTAAAAATTGTCGTAATTTTTCTAAGACTAATCTTTGATTTGAAACAGGAAAAAGATATGATTCTTTTTCCATTAATTTAAAAGCATATTCATCAGCATCATATATATAAAAATCAAAACCATTGATATTTACTCGAGCTCCAACATAAAAATCTGTTCCACCAAAATATTCTGATATTTGAAGTGGATATCGTGGTTGATTCGATTTTTTCACTTTTTGACGTTCAAGAAATTTACCACCATCAATACCTATATACAAAAAAACAGGAAATTCAAACATTATTTGTTATCATTCATTTTTTATTACCAGAATTTCTCGTTGGTGGTTCATGAATATTGATAGTATCATCGGCAAGAAAATATGATATAACAAAACGTCGTTCAGCTTGTATTGGATCTTTCGTTATGATTTGAGCCATAAAACGAAGAACGTTACTTTCAAGACCTTGACTGAAAAGAAATAAAGATAAGAATTTTTTAAAAATAATTTTCTATTGAAAGTTTATAGTAAATGGTGAGAATGAGGGTCGAAATTAATTTGAAGATGCAGGTTCCTCATATTGATCTCAAGATTCTTTCCGATTCAGTTAATATGCATTCTTAATTATCAAAAGATACGTTCAAGATTTGAATAAATTTCAAATAAATACGAGCCGGTAATGTATTAATTGCTGAGATATGAAAATATCATTGAGCTATTTTTATAATGGATGAGAACAGTTTTAGAATCATTGCTTTCAGACGAGAATAGAATGTGGGTAGAATCCATTGGGTCCAAAATTTTCGAACTCGAATTCGGTCGGATCCGAGACTAAACCGGTGGGCTCTACATGTAGATTAATGCGGGTCTTCTCTTCACTCACACCGAAGAGAAGCCGTGAAATCCAGTCGTCATTACTGAGTGAATATACTGTGACATACAGCTGCTCTTGTAGTTAATTAGTGTATATTGGAAGTTCAAGAAATAGAAGACAAGAACTCTGCGTCAAGCTGATCTTCTGTCTGGAGCTCATCTAGTATTAATAGCAAGGAAGATATCAAGCTACCGAAACTGTACAAGGTAGCTGAAAGACAGAGATATTCTTCTTCTTACTCTTTGAAACCCTTAACATAAAAAAGAATTTCATCAACTTTCGAATTCAGTCACTTGAAATTTCTTATGATCTTTTGAGATAAATATACTTACCGATCAAATCCCATAAATTTATTAAAATCTTTTTTAACTGGTTCTGGAAGCAATTTTTTCGTTGAATTTAATGAATCTTCTTCTGAACCAAAGCCCGTATCTATATATAAATTAAAAATAAAATAAATTTCTTTTTTATTATTCAACTTATATTCTTACATGGATAACTTTGTTTCAATAATTTATAATCATTATCTTTTTTGTAATTAATTGGTGTAAAATCTTGTACACCATATTTTGTACGATAATAATTTTTTGTAAATTCATCACAATCAACTAATAAAACTTTACGTCCGTAGACATTAATTAATTGACCAATAGCTAAATCTTGATCAATATAATACTT